TGTATGTAAGTCAGAACTGGCGGTCAGTTTCAGCAGCGGCTGAATCTGGACGCCAGTTCCGACTTACATACAGATTCAACTTAAGAACAAACCTACAGTCCCTATCTTGTAGGTAACCCGGGGACTGCCTGTACAGAAACACCAGTTGCAACACAAAGCCTCAAGGCACCATTATGGAGGCTATGCCTAAGTGCAGATTACAAAAGGCCTGGTAATAATGGCCAAAGAGGCACAGGCAGCTCCCTACTCTTCTGAAAAACAATTTAACCAACCCACACTTCAGAGCCATTCTTTGTGCCCATGGTCACTTGATTTTTCAGCCACCATTTAAATAAACATAAATAGCTACTGATGTCAGAAGTCAATGGCACTTCTGGGAGTGAATTTCAGGGGCTAGGATTTCCACCCCTGGCCTAGCCCAGCGCTCACAGACGAGGAGGGCATGAATTATAGATCCCCTACAGCTCTGAGAGGAGCGGGCTGCAAGCGAGGAGACGCAGTGGAGTTCTACGGTAGCAGGGATCGTGCCCCGCCGAGCAAAGGAGGGAAGGCTGAACAGGCATGGTCGGGTCACACGAGCTGTAGGGAGGGAGGCGAATGGGCATTTCTCAGGCACCTGAATCCGCTGCCTGCAGCGGGAGCACTCGCCCTCCAGCCCAAGGCACGTGCCAAAAGCCCCGCTGCCATCCCCCTTTTAAAGCCGGAGCTGATGCCTTCCTATTCCGCGGGGCCAGCCCCTCGGCTGCTCAGGTGAGCGGCAAGGGGGAGGGCACTGCAGCGTGCACAGGGGAAGGGGAGCCCTTACCTTCCACAGCCATTCTCTCAGCGCTCCCCTAGTGCATGCATAATTCGCCTGCCAAAGGCTTCTCCGCTAGCCCCCCTTCTTTCTTTCTCTCTCCCTTCAATGTTTTCTCTCTGCTCATCTGCAACCAAGACGCTCAACCTGCAGCTCTCACGCTAACAAGGGGTAGCCTGCGCCTAAGGCAGCCTGGGAAATGTAGTCCCCCTGGTGCCCAAGGGGTCGCTCAACCTGCAGCTCTCACGCTAACAAGGGGTAGCCTGCGCCTAAGGCAGCCTGGGAAATGTAGTCTCCCTGGTGCCCAAGGGGTCCGTCCCCCACCGCCCAGGTTGAAGAGCCCTAACCACTCGCTTCACGGTCGCATATAATGCCCGGGCCAGAGATCAACAGGGCAAGGAGGTGGGAGGCTGAGCAACAGGTTTTGCTCTGATCAGACCATGTTCTGGGGAGAGGACTACAAGTCCCGAAATGCAGCAGTTCGGTCTTACCAGAGAGTTGGACTGGGGCTGTTTGATTGAGAACTTCCTTGTCAAATTAGGGAAGGAGCCAGGTACAGGCAGAAGGTGGGGCAGGAAGATTTGGATTTGTGAAAGGGGAAAAAAAGCCTTTTACTTATTTGGGCAGCCGCAGCTGATTGTGGCCAGAGATCTTGCAAAACAAAGAGCATGTGTTCCCTAGATTGTTGCTCTGCAGCTGTCAACATGCAAAATGGTTGCATTCAGTCTGACTTCAGCACCAATTTAGCAATTGCTTGGAAATGGACAAATATTTGAATATTTTGAGAAATGTTGTGTGAATATTTTCTCATCTGGACTGCCTTTCTGGACTCTATCCCAAGAATATCACCATAGTATCTAAACTCCTTGGAATGGGGGCCTCTTTTGCTGAATGAATAAAGTATACCTTCATGAAAGCTAGAAATTCTTCCCTTTCCAGCGCTGTCATGGTCCAACTCAGTAGATGCTAGCATGGAAAAATATTAATGAACATCTTTTTATGTGCTTTATTTTATAAAATCTGTGGGGCATAGAGAGATACACAAGCCAAAAACAAAATATTATTGCTTAATATAAAACTTAATTTTTAAAATCAAATAGTTTCCCCCAGAGGTTTGTTACTGTGTATATATTAATACATGAACCTATTTCCAGGGCCCACATCAGCACTCCCTCTACAGACTCGTGCACTTCTTTGTATTGTTTATTTCAACATGTGCTTTCTATATTTTAGGCACCTTCAAAAGAAGTGGTAGGACTTTTTGAAGGTGCTCACCATTAGCCTAACTCCGTTCCCAATGAAGTCAATGGTAAAACTCTTGCTGACTTCAGTGGGAGCAGCGTTAAGTTAGGCCAGGCCTGATACCCACCCATTGCCCATCTTAAGATGAATAATTATACATTCTGGAGAGGAGGAGAAAGCCTCCTTCATTCCTCTCAAAGGGTGTGAGCTCCATTAGCCAACTTGGACCTTGATTGTGCAAGGAGCTATTTATGGGCATATCCTGTTCTTGCACAGAGCCCCCCTGGAACCCATGTAGCTTCATGCAGGGGTCTATCTGCACAGAGCTCAGTGCGGGGCCTGAACCTGGAAATTTATTTTAAAATGTGGAGGATATGGTGTGATGGTTTTCAAGATTGTGAGTTCCCTTGTCACCCCTTGCCTCTAGAGGGGGGTATTCTTGTCCATGGTGGCTGGGTATTAGCTCCCTAGCACAACCAGCTTGTCTGCACTATGCTTGTCCTGCTTTCATTTTGAAGACAACAGTAAGCTGCACCTCAGTTCCTTTGCATTGTTTCCCTTTATTATTCAGCCACTGACACGGGACTCTCAGAGAAGCACAAGATCCTCTGCCCTCAAAAGGGCTTGTTTACCTCAGTTTACCAGTTTTCCTTCACCACCACTGCTACATAACATACAGCACTCATAAAAGAACAAGAGAAGGTTTATTTAAGAAATAATAGATATTCCACTAGAAACAAGCGAGAGTGATGGAAGCAAATGGTTACAATAAAATCAAAATAATAAAATATAAACAAATGCTGATACTTATTGTAAGTAGGTTTTCATCCCAAACATCAGCCTGGGATCAGGATCCAAAGTTTCATGAAAGACACCCGTGTTCCATAAGATGTTTCCTCAGTGAATGGATACATAGTACTTCTTCCACCCTCTGTTATACTGACACAGTTTTTCATCTCTATTTATAAATAGAGCTTACCCCTAGCTGTTGTAACAGTCCTTTTTCACCTCCAAGTGGTTTCAATTGTTTGCAGTTGCCTCTGATGGTTTTCCTCTGATAGTCTTGGGATGGCCCAAAGTTAGGCAATTGAAATTTACATTACATCACCAGCTAACCAGGGAGAGGTGCCAACACCCTCCTGCTTTCCTGGGTCATCACCTATATTTATTATTTCCTGGTGACTCATTTTTAGATGCAAAACCATAAAGCATATGTTCTACAGTCCATATCGCCCAGACATTTTTCTCATGATTATGATACTTGGCAGAACTGATTTAAATGGGGCCTGTGTGTTGTATAGTCTTGCCTTAATCTTTAAATGGCACTTTAAATGCAGCACTTTACAGCGCAAGCTTCAAGAGATTCAGAACGAGTGGTGGACCAACCTCGCAGTAAGAACTCAGCTTTGCGCTGATACTGGCAGCTACAGGGGATTCTACGAAGCTCTAAAAGTGGTATATGGCCCCTCGTACCAAATCCTGAGCCCCCTGCAGAGTGCGGACGGGAAAGAACTGCTCACCGAAAAGGACTCTATCCTGAACCACTGGTCTGAGCACTTCTACACCCTCTTCAATGCTAGCCGCTCAGTCCAAGAACCAGCAATTGACCGCATCCCACAACAACCAGTGAAAACTGAACTGGATGTGGCACCAACATTACAAGAGACTGAGGAAGCCATTGAACAGCTGAAGAGTGGTAAAGCTGCAGGAGTTGATGGCATCCCTCCTGAGGTATGGAAGAACGGAGGCCCAGCACTGTACACCAAACTCCATGAATTCTTCATCTGCTGCTGGGAGCAGGGTAAACTCCCTCATGACCTCAAGACTATACAAACGTGTCTGGAACAACAGCAACCTCAAAAGAGACATGAAGGTCAGCGTCTACAAAGCTGTTGTGCTGACCACTCTCTTGTATGGCGCTCAGTCCTGGGTCACGTACCGTCGTCCTCGAGCGTTTCCATCAGCGCTGCCTCCACACAATCCTCAATATTCATTGGAGTGACTTTGTTGCCAACACTGAAGTCCTCAAGTTAGCGGAGGTCACCAGCATCGAGGCCATGGTCCTCAAGATACAGCTTCGCTGGGCAGGGCACATCGCCAGGATGGAGAACCACCGCCTACCCAAGATCGTGCTGTATGGGGAACTGTCCTCTGGCTACCGTGACATAGGGGCACCACGAAAGCGGTACAAAGACTCCCTGAAGAAGTCCCTCACTGCTTGTTGTATCGATCACCGTCAGTGGGCAACACAAGCAGCTGATCGCAACTCCCGGCGGCACACAGTCCACCAGGCCACCTCCTTCTTCGAAGATACCCGCAGGGCCTGTATGGAGGACAAAAGGAGAAGGAAGAAGAACCGTGACCCCTCAGCACCTATCCCGGATCAGACCTATATTTGCAGCCGTTGTGTGCCTGCCCCTGCCTGTCTCGCATAGGCCTCGTCAGCCACCAGCGTGCCTGCAGAAGACATGGATTTCCTTCCTAGATCTTCGTTCGCGAAGTCAAGCCATGATGAATCTTTGTATTCATGCCCACAATGTGAAAGAAACTATTTGCATATATATTTGCAAGTATATGCAACCACACTTATGATGTGGGCCACGATGATACTCTCAGCACACTTAAGTTGCGGCCCTCGGCATGTGCTGTGAGTATCATTGTGGCCCCCGGGTTTTCCAAAATTGAGTAGCCCTGGGCTATAGGATTGGAGTCTTTTAGCTTTGTAACAGAAGCTTTCGTGATAGCAATGTAACTCCTGTGCTAGTGGTAGAAGGCAAGGGTCATGCAGGCCTAGGATTAGGGTTGCCAGGTGTCCGGTTTTGATCTGGACAGTCCAGTATTTGAGCTTTCTGTTCAGGAAACAAATTGAGAAAATATAAATGTCTGGTATTTTCTAAAAAAGATGTAATGTAGATAGTGATGTAATGTCAAGCGTGTCCTGTATTTTTGTTGAAACCATCTGGCAACCTTACCTAGGATATGCCTCCACTGGAGTAAAGCTCCATAGCGCAACTACAACTGGCTTGGGTCAGCTGAATCAGGCCAGGCAAGTACAAGCTGCAGGGCTAAAAATTGCAGTGTAGGGCTGTGTCTAGACTAGCCAGTTTTTCCGGAAAATCAGCCGCTTTTCCGGAAAAACTTGCCAGCTGTCTACACTGGCCGCTTGAATTTCCGCAAAAGCACTGACTTCCTACTGTAAGAAATCAGTGCTTTTTGCGGAAATCCTATGCTGCTCCCGTTCGGGCAAAAGTCCCTTTTGCGCAAAACTTTTGCGCAAAAGGGCCAGTGTAGACAGCTCAGATTTGTTTTGCGCAAAAAAAGCCCTGATCGCGAAAATGGCGATCGGGGCTTTTTTGCGCAAAAGCACGTCTAGATTGGCCACGGAAAAGCATTTCCGGAAAATCATGCCAGTCTAGACTTAGCCTAGCTGTTTAGACCTGGGCAAGAGCCTGGGCTCTAGGACCTTCCACCCTTGCAAGATCCCAGAATGTGAGCTCCAACCTCAAGTTGAGCTGCCATACAACAATTTTATAGCCCCATGAGGCTGCGTCACCTGACCAGTTCAGCCACAAGTATTTAACTGCTGAGTAGAGTTATCCTGCTGCTCAAACATCCCACAACTCTTGTTCCAAATAACCACCCATTCTTAAAACCTGATCCAAAATCTTGCCTGCCTGGGGAGAATGAGTGAGCTTGAAAAGACTTCAAAGATCTTTCTTCCCCAAAAGAAACATTTTGTTTGCCTTTTTTAGACAAAAATTAGGACTTGTCTACTCTGAAACAGTCTATGGCAAATAATACAAATATGATTGCAAGTTTCAAAAAATAGAAAGTTCAGTGACTGAAAAAGCAAGGGGTTAGACTGTTTGAAAGTTTTATAGTTTTTATTTGTATTGGTGAGAATTAAAAATAGTTGTTAATTAGTGAATGTTTTGGAGAAAGGCTATCTTCATTATATACTAGCAGATTTACTAGGTCCTTAACTCAATTACATTTGTTTGGTTTGTCTCTGAAAAATCAAAAGAAAAAGTACATGATTTATTCACATGATTGTATTTATAAAAATAACACTTTTTAAAAAGAACTTATTTTGTATTTCTTAAAGGAATTGTTAATATTTGTCTTATTTTTGTATTAGTTTTATTTTAAATGGAAATTCCATCAAATGATTTTTTCTTCATCCCTAAAACTCTTGTCACTTGCTATGTTTTAATAAAAAAGGGCTTTAGTCAATTTGGTTTCCAATAACATTTTCTTCTACTTTTCAAACCTTAAGCATTGATTTGCCTGTGCCAAAAAAGCACTACTCCTAATTTCTCCATGCTTTGTCTTTTCTGTAAAGTTTATTGAGAAGCAATCCTATTCCAGGTGCATCCTGTTTTTCTGGCTCATCTTGGTTCAGTCTCTTTCAACATTTGCTTAGTTACGTCAATTTTGAGGACTATACTTGATTTGGTGATTGTCTCTTTTCTGTTTGGTTTTCTGAGAAGCAATCCCATCCCAGGCACATCCCATTTTTCTGGTATAACCAACTCCTTATGTTGCTTTATGTTATAATAAGAGGAAGCTAGATACCAAATTTGGTGGCTTAGGAGAAGTTCTTGATTAAACAAAGAGGCTGTGTCTAGACAGGCCAGTTTTTCCGGAAAACTTGCCAGCTGTCTACACTGGCCGCTTGAATTTCCGCCAAAGCACTGACTTATACCATTAGCTCACAGACATTTACCTTCCCTCCCCCCCCCTCCCCCCCGCATTCCCCTTCTTTTCTGAAATTTGATTTGTCCTTTTCATATGTGTTCATTTTTTTAAATTGTATCCTTTGGTATATATGGTTGTGACTATTTTCTTCCACTATTTGATCTGAGGAAGTGGGTCTCAGAAAAGCCATGAAAGCTCATAATCTAATAAACCATCTTGTTAGTCTTTAAAGTGCTACATAGTCCTGTATTTTGTTTCAGCTACACCAGAATAACACGACTACATTTCTATCACTTAGGAATTCAGACTGCCACTATGCCAAGCAAAAGTCCCTTTTGCGCAAAGCTTTTGCACAAAAGGGCCAGTGTAGACAGCTCAGATTTGTTTTCCGCAAAAAAGCCCTGATCGTGAAAATGACGATCAGGACTTTTTTGCGGAAAAGCGCGTCTAGATTGGCACAGATGCTTTTCCGCAAAAAGTGCTTTTGTGGAAAAACATCTGTGCCAATCTAGACGCTCTGTTCTGAAAATGCTTTTAATGGAAAACTTTTCCGTTAAAAGCATTTCCAGAAAATCCTGCCAGTCTAGACGCAGCCAGACATATTAAATGTCCCACAAATTTAAAATAGGGAGTGAACTCAATAGACTTATATTGAGATTCTACACGCAGTCTCGATTCAAAACCAGGAATTTTGACTTTGCTGATTTTTCTAAAGTAATAAAACTAGGGAGATTAAAAAAACTGATTCTGAGCCAGGGGAAGGGAGACCTTCCAGTCCTTCTGTGTATATTCTGAAGATAAACAAAAAAATTATACAAGGATTCTTTAAAATACATATTCATTTCACAAAGCTTTCTAGTGCTGACCTACAGTGATTATTTCATCTATGCTGATTACTCTCATATACATTTGAGCAACCACCCTTCCTACTGCCTGGAGCAGCAAACTTGTCTTTTATGTGCTCTGTAAAGCACTAGACACATCTGCAATGCTCTAGAAGGATTGCAAAAAGCTGGTGAGCATTCCAAGCACAAAAAAACAGTAACCCCTGGCAATTTGTTCTAGAACTGTCCACAACCTTTACGCAGTCTATTGGCAGTGTTGCTTATTTTTGGGGAGGGGGATTAAGTTTGTGTTTATTGTTACCACTCACTATGAATTGTGGTAATCTTAAGAGGCAAATTAGCATTATTAAACAGCTGGTGTGTATGTATATTATTACGCTCTTCAGCTACGTCTATACTGCAGCCTACTTCTGCAAAAGCTTATGCAAATGAAGCACGGAGTAGAATATCGCTATGCTTCATTTGCATAATTAATTAGCAGCCATTTTTGTGCAAGAGGCTTTTGCGTAAAAAGGTGCTGTGTAGATGGTGCCTTTTTGTGCAAAAAAACCCTCTTGGGCAAGAGCCATTTTTCCTGAAAAAATGAGGAAGAACAGCTCTTGCACAATAGGGGGTTTTGCGCAAAAAGGAGCAGTCTACACAGCTCCTTTTTGTGCAAAAGCCTCTTGTGCAAAAATGGATGCTAATTAATTATGCAAATGAAGCGCAGTGATATTCTACTCCACGCTTCATTTGCATAAGCTTTTGTGGCAGAAAGCTGCATAGACGTAGGTTACTAGTTAGAATCAGCATTGTTTCATTATGAGTCACATAAACCCTATAATGTGAATGGGTTGTGTGTGTGTGTATTTTTTTTGAAACAGGAGGTTGAAGTACATGACGTTTGAGGAGAGACTGAGGGATTTGGGTTTGTTTAGTCTGCAGAAGAGAAGATGAGGGGGGATTTGATAGTAGCCTTCAACTTCCTGAAGGGAGGTTCCAAAGAGGATGGAGAGAGGCTGTTAACAGTAGTGACGGATGGCAGAACAAGGAGCAGTGGTCTCAAGTTACAGTGGAAGAGGTCTAGGTTGGATATTAGGAAAAGCTATTTCACTAGGAGGGTGGTGAAGCACTGGAATGGGTTACCCAGGGAGGTGGTGGAACCTCTGTCCCTAGAGGTTTTGATGTCTCGGCTTGACAAAGCTCTGGCTGGGTTGATTTAGTTGGGATTGGTCCTGCCTTGGGCAGGGAGCTGGATTTGATGACCTCCTGAGGTCTCTTCCAGCTCTATGATTCTATGATTCTAACTGTTCTCAGAGAGTAGTTATTAATGGTTCACAATCCTGCCGGAAAGGCATAACAAGTGGGTTTCCGCAGGGGTCTGTTTTGGGACCGGCTCTGTTCAATATCTTCATCAACTATTTAGATATTGGCATAGAAAGTATGTTTATTAAGTTTGAAGATGATACCAAGCTGGGAGGGGTTGGACTGCTCTGGAGGATAGGGTCCTAATTCAAAATGATCTGGACAAATTGGAGAAATGGTCTGAGGTAAACAGGATGAAGTTTAATAAAGACAAATGTAAAGTGCTCCACTTAGGAAGGAACAATCAGTTTCACACATACAGAATGGGAAGCGACTGTCTAGGAAGGAGTACTGCAGAAAAGGATCTAGGGGTCATAGTATACCACAAGCTAAATAGGAGTCAACAGTGTGATGCTGTTACAAAAAAAGCAAACTTGATTCTGGCACGCATTAATAGGAGTGTTGTAAGCAAGACACGACAAGTCATTCTTCCACTCTATTCTGCACTGATTAGGCCTCAGTTGGAGTATTGTGTCCAGTTCTGGGCACCACATTTCAAGCAAGATGTGGAGAAATTGAAGGTCCAGAGAAGAGCAATAAGAATGATGAAGGGTCTAGAGAACATGACTTATGAAGGAAGACTTGGGCTTGTTAATTTGGAAAGGAGAAGACTTAGAGGGGACATGTTAGCAGTTTTCAGGCATCTAAAAGTATGTCACAAGGAGGAGGGAGAAAAATTGTTCTCCTTAGCCTCCGAGGATAGGATAAGAAGCAATGGGCTTCAACTGCAGCAAGGGAGGTTTAGGTTGGACGTTAGGAAGAACTTCTTAACTGTCAGGGTGGTTAAACACTGGAATAAGTTGCTTAGCGAAATCTCCATCTCTGGAGATATTTAAGAGCAGGTGGTCTAGATCATCCCTGATAGATGTCTAGATAAGTGTTTCTTAAACAACAGAGTTCAAAACAACAGAGTTCAAAATGGCTGCCCTTAAAGGGGCAACTTTTTTTTTCTCAATATCTTTCCCTCTGACCACTTTTTTTTCCTTCCTCAACAAAAAATCCTTGGTGTTCCTCATAAACAAAAATTATTGTTTGTTGTTCCTTGGTTTTAAAAAGTTTAAGAAACACTGGTCTAGACAGTACTGGGTCCTGCCATGAGGGCAGGGGACTGGACTTGATGACCCCTTGAGGTCCCTTTCAGTTCTCGTGTTCTGTGATTCTATGATTGTCACATAGAAATTATCCTCCATTTCTGTCTTTGTTATTTCTTTTCCACTTTACTGAAAAATGTAACAATTTACTCGTTAAGATCTGAAGTGATTATGCAAACAGTGAGCATGGGATATAGGCACTTGCTTGTCTTTACCTGATGAGCTCTTTAATGGTGTGCCACCCATAGGGTTCCCACCTGGGCACATTGCTATGAGCCAAGGTTTTCAAATATGACACGTGATTCTAGATGTTTTCCTTTCTGAGTGTTCTGCTTGACACACTTCAGTGGGTCCTGATTCAGAAAGTGATGACCACTCACTCACTACAACTGAGACCCTTTTAAGATGCCTCAGGTTAGCAGACTTTAGCCACGATCTATTTCATTGAATAGACCTTAATCTCTATATTGATATTATAGCTATGTTTAAATTCCCCATGAAATGCTTATGACATCAACCTTGTCCCAGAATTGCATGATATCTACTTAGAAGATACATCTCTAGAGCCTTAAAATGCCCGTGTGTATTGCAGAAAATCATCATGTGGATTTATTTTTAAAGGAACTCAATATTGTTAAATGTAATTCACCCTTCAGGGCAGGTAATCCTCTACAGTATGGGATGACTGTTATGGCCCCAGACCTGCATATGTAAATGACATGGAATAAAAAACATAGTGGAGACTTTCGTCTGCTGCTTTTCCATGATACTTTAAATAAGACGCAGCCTGGAAGGTTTTAATAGCAAATGCAACCCACTGTAGTGAAAGTGGTGAACAAGAGCTTAACTCTAGCTCTTCTCCCCATTCCTCTTTCAGAACGGCTTAGGCAGAAGAAAGGGAAGAATGCCTTTAGGAAGGCTCAGCTCCATGTCCAGAGTTATTTATAGGAGGAAGATTGGGAGTTTTGGGGACACTCTCGTTTTAGCTTTTGTTAATTTATTCTGATTTCTTAGAGTAAATGGCATTCCTTAAGTCAATACGTATGCAGAGTGAAAACCATATATGGGCCCAGGAGACATGAGCAAACACATAAACTGGGGCCTTGCTTGAGAACAACCCTTTGTGGCACCGGTTGATTTCAGTGGGACTTTAGGACTTTAGCAGCTTACAAGTGCCGTTCAGCACCCCATACAATCCAGCTGCTTCTCAGACTTGTGACTGAGGGTGCAGTGTCATGGTTGTCAGACCTATTGGATAAACTTGAATAGGGTTTAAAAAATTGCAACTCATGCTCTTACTTACTGAACTCTCAGCGTGCCTTGAAATGGCAGCAACAATTACAGGCAGAATGCCCGGGGCTCAACACGTGGATGAGAGGATCGTGTCGGGAGGAGGGATTTAGGGTTCTTAGGAATAGAGGAACCTTTTGGGAAAGGGGGAGCTTAGCTAAACCAAAACAGAACCAGTTTGCTGGCGTGTAATATTAAAAAGGCTGTAGAGGTGTTTTTAAACTAAGGGCTGGGGGAAAGCGGAAAGGTGTGGAGAAGCAAATGGTGAGGCCCGAGACATCCCTTAGGGGAGGATTTATTAAAGTGGACACTCTGGCTATGTCTACGCTACCAGATTATTTTGGAATTAAATAATAACTCCCAAAATGACTATTTTGAAATAAGCTTATTCCTCTTCACAAGCAGGAGTTATTATTTTGAAATAACAAGCCCATTATTTCGAAATAACTCCCCAGTTTAGACATGTCTTCTGTGTCCTAGTAAAGAGAAGAGGATATACATTAATAAAGTACCAGCTGGAAACAGGCCTGCTGATGCAGGATGGGCAAGGGAAGAAGGCAGTTGCCTTGGGGCAGGATGATTCAAAGGAGCTTGGGACCACCATCCCTTTAAATGCGAGAAGCATCACAGTGCACGCTCTGGGTAGTTCAGAGGGATGGGAGGAGGCACCATGATCCGCGCAGCAAGGAGGGCTGGCTGCCCTGGCCCTGCCTTTTCGCCCGAATCCCTGCCCACGATTGGAAATGAAGAGGAACAGTCAAACTCAAAAGGGTCCTATTCATTTATATTCATCATGGTAGACAGCTACATATTGACAAATTTTGTAAGGGTGTATATATTAGTGCTCAAAGTCACAGTATTAAGATTTTGATCTTATTTCTAAATGGTTTGTTTCATCTTTTGGCATTGTCTACACAGCACCAGATTTTGAAATAAAGCGCTATTCTGAAACGTCCCTTACGCCTTGTGCAATGAGGTTTACAGGGATGTTGAACTAGCAAGCCTGCTGTATTCTGATATGGAGGGCTTGCTCTTAAGACACAGAATAGCTATTTCAGGATCCCAGTGTATCCCAGTGTAGACATAGCCTAAAGTGCCATGAGACAGATCATTGTTTATGCTGTTTTTCCACTGTGCATTTCCCTTTGAGGAAAGCAGAAGTTGTTCTGAGTCCTGTGTGCCCTCGCTCTGGGTATATGCATGCTCAGGTGGTCCACTCCTCTGCTCCAGTACCCAGAGCCAGGAGCCAGGATTGTGCTTGGTCGTACAGCAGTGGAACCGAGGTAGGTTTGATGAGTCTCCTCAGCGGGAGTTCTATGTCACCTCTATTCCTAATTGTCCTGCAGGTGGGGAGCAGAAAAGCATCGAGTGTTAAACCGTGTTACAAGGAGGAGGGAGAAAAATTGTACTCCTTGGCCTTTGATGATAGAACAAGAAGCAATGGGCTCAAACTGCAGCAAGGGAGGTTTAGGTTGGACATTAGGAAACACTTCCTAGCTGGCAGGGTGGTTAAACCCTGGAGTGAATTGCTTAAGGAGGTTGTGGAATCTCCATCATTGGAGATATTTAAGAGCAGGTTGGATACACATCTGTCATGGGTGCCCTAGATAGTGCTTGGTCTTGCCATGAGGGCAGGGGACTGAACTTGATGACATCTTGAGTTCCCTTCCAGTTCTAGGATTCTATGAAGACTAGTACATTTCGGTCAGAGTAATTGACATATAAATTACTATATGGAATCATCAGGGGCGGATATAGGGCAGGGCGAGTGGGGCGGCCGCCCCGGGCCCCGCGCTTCAAAAAGCCCCGCGCATGCGCCGTGGCGCCACCGCACATGCGCGTTGCGTCACCGCGCATGCGCCATGGCAAAGGGGGGCCCCGCAAGATTATGCTGCCCTGGGCCCCGCAAAATGGTCATCTGCCCCTGGGAATCATAGTTTCATCTCAAGTATGGCTAGAGATACCTGTAGTTTCCTTCTTGACAATAGCAAGGCACCAGTGTTTCCTCCATATCTGTTCCTCCCCCCTCATTTATCTATCTGTCCTGGATTGTATAAAGCTTAGGATATGTCTACACTGTGTGGAAATGTAGCTCAGTTAGATGTAGCCACTGTAGCCTTAATCTAGCTAAATATAGCAATGAAAATGAGGTGCCATGGTCCCTGATGTTGTGCCAGATATACTCAAGGTGCTGGGAGGATTTGTACGGGATGTTAAATTGCGGTAATTGGCTAGTCGAGTAGTCGATGGAACTAGTCGATAGGCACTTCCTCATTTCTCCTTTGAAATGTACAAGAGCCCTTAGTGGGGCTCTTGTACATTTCAAAGGAGGAATGCGGAACTCCACGTACAGCCCTGGGCCAGTGGGAAGTCCCACTGACTCCGGGCTGTGTGCAGGTGCCTGTTTTGAAATGTACAAGAGTCCCCAATGGGCTCGTGGAGGCGGCATTTCAAAGGGGCAGCTGTGGAGCCCAGGGTCAGCTGGGGACTCCCCAGCTAACCCCAGGTTCCAAGTGGCATTTCCCCAGAACCCAGGGTCAGTTGGGGGCAGCAGCGCACAGTTGATCCCCAACTCAGCTGTGTGGTGCTGCCACTTTGAAGTACCCCTTCCCCCTCCTTTGCTGCTTCTGTCTCATAGAGGTGGTGTGTGTGTGTGTGTGTGTGTGTGTGTGTGTGTGTGTGTGTGTGTGGCGGGGGGAATCAACTAGTCGGATAGTCCTTAACATCTCTAATTTGTACATCCCAGGCCATGACACCTTCTCAGCTCATTTTAGGGAGTTAGGTAAATTAAAGCTAGCATAGGTGCAACAACATGGGCTGCAATCACTACTCTGATCGCATGTATTCGCAGATGGTAAGTTCTCTGGGGGCAGGGACTGCCTGTGAGCTTATTTGTACAAGAGGGCCTTAGGCCACGATCCTGCACTATTAAAGTCAATGGAAGCTTTGCAATTATAATTAATAGACTTTAAGATCAAGCCCTTCCTCCCTCTGAGGTCCTTTAGGTGCTACTGCAATAGAAGTGACAACTAACTGGCTTTCTCCTAAACGTATGACGGTTTATCCTGCAACAATTGAGAAGGCCCTCAGTGGTTGCAAGCAACACCTTTGAAAACATCAGACCTATCCTGAGACCAAGGATTTTGGTATTAATATTGCTGCATGACAAAAGGCAATAGTCTCATTATAGTTTCAAAAAAAAAAAATTAACTGGATGTGTCTTACACATGCCTAGAATACATCTAAAAGCTGTGCCCTCTCATGCTTCCATTGCACTTTTTCTTTTTAAAAGTGGCCACAAAGAGCTTATTATTTTTAACAAACCACAAGAATATAGAATACAATGAGTATTGTTTTAACTTTTTTTTTTCACTCTTCTTTCTCTTTTGGGTGCCAGCACAACGCCCTTGAAAGTACTTGTGATAAAAAGATGGGTGGATTTTTAGCTTTTATGTAAATTAGTGAACCTTAGATTCAGAATTCAAATATTTTCTTGTCTTCTCTTTTCTTTCATTCCAAACATTGGAGGGAAAAATATTCTGTCTATCCACTTGGGCTTTATTAGGTTTTGATGCTTCTGATTCCATCTCTCTACACCTCTAAAAAGAGCCTTCTTTACGAGATTTCTTTTAATTGTGCCAAAACCAATCTGCTTTTCAGAAGAACCTACTGACACCTAATTGCCATCTGCCTTCTTCAGTTCATTTTCCCATAAGACTGTCTCATTTTTCTTTTTTGCTCAGAATTACTCCTCCTCTTCTGCTGCTGTCGGTATTCTGTGTCAATTCTTAAGACTCTTCTACATTTTGTAATTCCTTTATTTTATATTTCAGCACTGACTGCTCCAAAATCAATAAAAATTCTTCTTTAAAGCTGAGATTTTAATTGCCTACAAAAATTGGGAAATTTAGAGTTAAGCTTTCCACCATTTCCAACTTCAGCATTGCACATTTGTCTGCATGCGTTACAGCAGGACTTGTTATATGATCACATAATACCATATGCAATACCAGAAAGACCGAGTTGTGCAGGCCAGTTTTGAGGTAGCGTGGGGGACACATGCTGCAACATGAAATTCACCTTTGCTCAGAGAAGCTGTGCATCTACTTAAGACCTCAAAAGAGTCTGTAAACATTTCAGAGGGCTTGTAATAACCTTCTCCTTGGTGTTGGAGCTCATTCTTTCAGCTGCATGAACTGTAATCTTCAGTTGGGTGGGGATATATGCATATGCAAAGATGGGAGTGCTAATGAGGCGTTCCACGAGGCGTACAGCTAGTTCGGATTAGAAGCCTAATCCGAACTAGCTAATCCGTGCCGCGTGTAGCCGCGCGGCACGGGGTCCGAACTAGCCGGCATTTAAAAATGATGCCGGCCGGCTCATGCAAATGAAGCCCGGGAAATTCAAATCCCGGGCTTCATTTGCAACTGCGGATGACTACATTACCCCCGCTAGTTCAAACTAGCGGGGTAGTGTAGACATACCCTCACTGAGTGAAACAGCAGAGTTGGAACTCCTATGCAAACTTGACACTAGCTGCTTGGGTCTAAATTTTAGGCCACTAATTTTTTTTCTCTCCTCTTTGATATTCATACCTTCCCATCAACTGTTGGGAGTGGGCCAGATGCACCCTGATTGAATTGACTATACTATGCAGAGAACCAGTGTTAATAATGTAACACACCCATCTTTACATATCCCAGCCCAACTGAAGTTTCTGCTTCATGCATCATCTCCTGAAGTAGGTTCCAGCCCAGGAAAGCTTATGCCCAGATAAATGTGTTAGTCTTTAAGGGTATGTCTACACAGCAAGGCTGTGTCTAGACTGCATCACTTTTCCGTAAAAGGGATGCAAATTAGACACATCGCAATTGCAAATGAAGCAGGGATTTAAATCCCCCCCGCTTCATTTGCATAAACATGGCTGCCGCTTTTTTCCAGCTCGGGGCTTTGCCGGAAAAAAGCGCCAGTCTAGATGGGGATCTTTTGGAAAATAAAGCCTTTTCCAAAAGATCCCTTATTCCAAGGGATAAGGGATCTTTCGGAAAAGGCTTTATTTTCTGAAAGATCCCCATCTAGACTGGCGCTTCATTTGCAATTGCGATGTGTCTAATTAGCATCCCTTTTCCGTAAAAGGGATGCAGTCTAGACACAGCCCAAAGTTATTATTTCGAAATAACTATGCCAGCGTCTACACTGCAAGGCTACATCTACATTGGCATCCCTTTCCGGAAAAGGGATGCTAATGAGACGAGTCGGAATTGCAAATCCGCGGGGGATTTAAATATCCCCCGCGGCATTTGCATTTACATGGCTGCCGCTTTTTTCCGGCTTGGGGATAAGCCAGAG